GGGGGCTCCGAGCCAGCCAAGCTTGTGCCCCCAGGACCGCGCCCCGGTCCTCCCACACCCTCCGTGGTGCCCGAGGTGCAGCAGCTCGCCCAGCCACGCCCAGTAAGGGCTTGAGTCTTGGTGCCTCGTCCTTGCTGCCAGGATGCGGGGATGCAGGGAGACGCAGGCTCAGCACCTCCAAAAGCCCTGAGGGGTGGGGCAGTGCGCCTCCGGGCTCTGCATGGCTGGGTTGTGGCTGAGCGAGGACAGGGGCGGACCCAGGGCGCACGGGCTTCCTGGCACGGTCCCTGGCGGAGGCTTCCTGAGCTCCAGGAGGCGGCCGCGTCCAGGCAGCGGTTCCCTTCCCTCCCTTTACCTCCGTCCTCGGCTCCGTCAAGTGTGAAGGGTAAACTCGCTGAGCAAACAGGGCCGGGGCCGCATCCGGGATGTCTCAAGAGCTGTGCCGGCGGCCCCCACCGGCCTCGGCCCGGAGTGCGGCGCACGGGCAGGGGCGGCGCCGGGCGGCCCGGAGCGCCTACTGTGTGCCGCGGTGGGCAGCAGGCAAGGCCCCTGCCGCGGGAAGCTCTCCTTCCCGGGTGGGGTGGGGAGGGAGAGACGGCAAACCTGAAGCCCCGAACAGCTCACGTTCAGGTCCCGAGTCCGAGGCTCATATGGGCAGGGGCAGGGGGCTGGCGGGCCCTGAAGGCCGTGGGGTGCTTGCCGAGTCGGGGGGCCAGGGCAGCACGGCAGGGGCCTGGGTGTGGCTGGGCGCCGGGTGGGGCACGGACGAGAGCCGTGGGAAGGCCAGGGAAGCTGCGGGGGCCCGAGGGCTCGGCCTGAGGGAGGCCCGGAGATCTGCAGACGTGAGCGGGCAGCACGCCAGGCCCGTCGGTGGGAGCTCTGAGTCCAGGAAGCGGGGCCAGCTCCCGGCGGGTGGGTGCACTGAAGGGGCCAGCTGCCCGCAGACCCCGGACCCCCAGACGCACGGCAGTGGCCCAGATGTTGGCCGGAGGGGCCCTCTGCCAAGCAGAGGGGTGACTGCCAGGCTGGAGGCGTGAAAGCTTTGAGGAAGGTTTGCGCGTGGCCCCAGCAATTCCACTGATGTGAACGAATCCCGGGAAAGACAAATGCAGGGGGGGGCCCGGCTGTGCGCACCGTAGAGAAGCTATGGGGGCTTCCCGCACCTCCCAGCCAGATCCGCCCATGGGCCGCTCTCAGACACACTCAGGCGTGCGGTAAGGGTGCCCAGCGTTGTGGCTGGAGCCAGAGAATGAGACGCCTGTGGTGCGGGTCAGAGGGGGACAGCGGGTGAGGCTGAGCCAGACACCGGGAGAAGGTTACCCTGTGGCCCGGCCAGGCTGGGCCAGCCAGGGAGCTGGGACATGGCTCCCACTCAGGGCCGCACCGAGACCCGCTCAGACTGAGGTGACCTCGTCAGCCCTGCCGGGGGCCCCAGGAGCACATCAGTGTGGCGACATCAGCCCCCGTATGGCCTGCCGTCCACCCAGGACCCTGGCGACTCATGGACCCAGAGGGACAGTGGCTTCCTCTGTGCGACCCGGCCTTGGGCCACCTAGCCAGCCTCAGAAGCAAGGGGATGGTCAAATCCGCCATGCTGGGAGCTCCTGGTCCTGCCTTGGCCAGGGCAGGCGTGGGACAAAGGCCAGCCTGGTGTCTACTCTCAGGGCCTCAGTTTCCCCTTAAATCTGAACTTGGTGACAGAGAAGAGCCTCGAGATCTTCAGGGGCACTGGTCAGCATGGTTAGGGTCTCTGGGCATGGAGCCCCCTCCCAGGACCCCCACAAGCCATGCAGCCCAGGTACCCCACCCTACACACATGGCTGACCACCCCCTAGCTGAGCAGAAGCCCCAAGGACCCGGGGTGAACACCCCTGGCCAGCGCCCAAGGCTACCCGATGGCTGAGGCCTTGGCCAGGTTCTGGGGAGGGGCTCGATGTGCGGGCTCAGCGTGGGGTCGTGCTGACCACCTCCCTACTAAGTGAGCGAGACACGACCAGAGCGGCTGGGACGGCTGCGTGCAGGGGCCTTGCCCCCCCAGGATGGGCCGCTGGCACCAGGCAATCACCTCTCTCCCTCTGATTCTCAGACGCTGCAGAGGGGCGGGGGAGAGTGGGGGCAAGGGTCCTGTGAATCTGGGGCCCAGAGCTGCAAATCCTTCCTCCTCCAGGCGTCTTTCCTGCCTCAGCCCCTCCCCAAGAGCAAACACACGTGGCCGCCTTGGGGGGAAGGATGGAGCCCTGCGTGGCCCAGGAGCCGGGCGCTGAGCCAAGGCTTCTTGCTATATAAGCCCCAGGGCCCCCAGGGAGCGAGCACTGGGGCCCACTCCCTCCCGGCCACCAGCCCGCCGCTGTGCCAGCCCCCAGGATGGGTGCCCTGAATGGGTGCCTGGTGCTGGCCTGGGTCCTGGCGGCCCTGCTTTTGGTGCAGGAGACAGGTGAGGATAAGGACCCGGCTCTTTCTCTGCAGCAGGGGAGCCCCGCGGGCCACTCGCCGGGGGTCCTCCTCCTGAGAATGGGCAGGCAAGAGCCCGCCCCGTGTGTCCCCACTGGGGCCCCCAGGCTCTCAGCCTCCAGCCAGGAGAAGCTGGGCCCCGGGAGAACCAGCGAGAAGGTGTTGGGGTGGAGGTGGGGGAGGAGGCCAAAGCTGGGTGTCTCTCTGGTCCTTGGAGCTCCTCACTGCGGCTCCAAAATTCCTGCTCAGATTAGGGTTGGAACAGCCGATAGGGGAGCCCCATCGAGCCCGCCCCCCCCACTGGCTCCCAGGGGCTCCCGGATGCCCCGTGGCACTTAGCATCTAGGGGAAGCACCACTGGCCCTAATACTTACTGTCAACATGAAAGACACTGCCTCAGGGGCTGCCTGGGTGACACCCAGCAGGGCTGGCCTGGAGCCCTGGCCACTGCAGGCCACCCCGCCCGGTGTCAGCCCTGAGCTCTGCTCCCTCGAGGCCTCCCCACGCTGCATTGCCCGGGCTCGGGGAGTCCAGGCAGACGGACGCTGGCCCACAGCCCTCTCCATCAGTCGTTTCCTGGGTGTGGAGCAGGGCTGGGGGTTGGGGAGCTCCCCAGAGTGACTCCCAGTGGGGTGCCGGGCCCCCAGCCCACCAGGCTGTTCAGGTGCCCACCTACTGGTTCGCACGGCCCCCACGTGGCCGGGCTCTTCCAGGCTCCTCTGGGCCGTGCCGGCCTCGCAGCACGTGCCTGAAGAGTGGCTTCTCCAGCGAGCCACCTCACCCCTGCCCGCTCCTCTCTGGGGGGCAAACCCCGCTGGGGGGGGGCTAAGGCCGTCCGAGAGGAGGGCCCCACGTCGGGGTGTGTATGGGCCGCAGTGCAGCGCACCGTCGGTAGCGGGCGGTCCCCTGGCCCCGGCGATGCAGACCCGGTCTTGCTGGGCGAGTGACTCTGCCTGAGGAGGGCCCCGAGTTGAGTCCGTTCTCGTGGCGACGGGGCCTGGATGGGGAGGAAACCGGGCCTGGATGGGGAGGCGACGTGCAGGCCAAGCACCCCCATGACTCTCTCTTTTGACTGTGGGGTGTGGCCGTGGCTGGTCCCGGCCAGGCTCACATGGGAGGAGCTGCTGGTCTGGGGTCCCACAGGGGTAATGTCTGTGCCTGTAGGAAACAGTCCGCTGGGGCCCTTGAAAGCCAAGTTCGATGCCAAGCCAGGCCCTGTGGTTTCTGTCCGAGGTCCCTGCTGGGAGAGTCAAACAGGAAGCAGAGGCCGTCCCCATGGCCTCCCGGTGCCCCTTGCCAAGCAGGTCGCACCGGGAATATGGGGACATCAGGGACCCCCCTCCCACTCCCCAGGAAGTTCCGTCTTGGGCTGAGCGTGGAGACTCCTGGCAGACCAAAGGGAGGATGTCAGGGCCATGTGAAGGGGGTGCCGCAGCCTGAGCTCAGCAGAGGCGCCTGGGAGGGCTCGCTGCTGTCTCCCATGGCAGCGAGGGGGCCTGGGGGCTTGGCCACCGGGGCAGTCAGGCTGGTGGGGGAGGCCCTGTCTGGAGGTGGTGGGCACACAGGCCCCTGGAGACAGCCACCCTGGCACCAGGGCCCCTGGGCCTCCTGCTGCCATAATGGACTGTTCTAACTCGAATCTGGCTCTGGTCTTGGGTTTCTGCTAAGTCACGCCTAGAAGCCTCCCCAACTGCGTGTGTCCTTCTCCCCAACAAAGCCGGTCTTTGTCCTTCTCCAAGGGACGCGCGGGATGGGGCCAAACCCTCTTCTGGGGTGGCCGGGGTCAGTGGCAGCAACGCCTTTTCCTGATTCCGCTCTCTTGCCTGGAGGCAGCGGCGCCAACGGCAGTGTCTGGGCGGGACAAGGCACCACCCTGCGTTTGTGGACGGGGAGGGTGGGGGTCAGCACAAGGCTCCCAGCGGAGGCCTCCCACCCCGGCAGAGCCCCACTTTCCACCCTGTCACATGTCCATGGGGCCTGCCCAGGAAGGACGGGGAACGTCCAGCGGCTCAGGGACCCGCATCCGCTTTCCCTGCAGAGACCCAGAGCAGCGTGGAGCCCAGCCAGCCAAGCAGACAGGCCGCAGAGCACAGCCGGAGGGCAGACATCGGTATGCGTCCCAGGCTCGGAGGAGGGGGTGGCCCTCTGCAGGCAGAAGGGGCTGGGCTCCAAGTGGCCTGGCAACCTGGACGGGGGATGGGGACATTCCACATCGGCTGCATGTCACAGAGACCCTTCTGGATCCCACCTGCCCACAAGAAGGGACAGCAGGGGGGCACGGGCCCCGGAAAGCTAAGGCACTGAGCAGAGTGCCCGAAATGCTCACACATGCCCACACACGTGCCCACACATGTGCTCACACCTTGCGCGTGCATGTTCACATGCACACTTGGGGCAGAGTGTGTCTTGGGCAAGTGGGGAGGGCCCGGGAGGGGCAGCCCTAGTCCTGGGGCTCGATGGGCTGCGTCAGGGCGGCCAGCAAGAAGGGTGGGGGTCTCCTGCCTGGCCGTGTTTCGGTTGTAACCTGGCCTCCCTCTACAGCTTGGAGCATGACCGTCATCCCGCCCATCACTGTCTTGCCCACCATGAGCTGTGAGTGGACACTGCCCACTGCTGGTGGGGGGCGGGGGTACTCGCAGATCTTGGGGGGAGCTGTGTGGGCAGCTGAATGGCCCCGGTCCCAGCCGGGAGCCCTCCCTGTGGCCAGCTCTTCTGGGGGCTGACCCCAGATGCTGGGTCCAGGGGGAAGGGCGCTCAGGGCGGCGAGGCGGGCGAGCGGCCGCCCTCCTGGCTCCCCACCTCTCCAGACCCGGGGACAGCCACCCGCAGGTGGCTGGCAGGGCTGGTGGCGTCTGCTGGGGCCCCACACGCTCTCCCCGCAGCCCGGGACCCCGCGCACAACGGGCGCGTCTGCAGCACCTGGGGCGACTTCCACTACAAGACCTTCGACGGTGATGTCTTCCGCTTCCCTGGCCTGTGCAACTACGTCCTGTCCGCGCACTGCGGCGCCGCGTACGAGGACTTCAACGTGCAGCTGCGCCGCGGCCTGGCCGGCTCCAGGCCCACCATCACCCACGTCATCCTCAAGACCCAGGGGCTGGTGCTGGAGGCCTCCAACGGCTCCGTCCTCATCAACGGGCAGCGGTGAGCCTGGGGGGGGGCTGCAGCGGAGCCGGGACTCTGGGGCAGGCTCGGGATGTGCAGGGAGGGCCCCGGACCCTGCTGGACACCCGCTGCGGGACGACCAGAACTTTCCACCCCAGAGAGGAGCTGCCCTACAGCCGTGCAGGCCTGCTGGTGGAGCAGAGCAGCGTCTACGTCAAGGTCACTGTCCGGCTGCTGCTGACCTTCATGTGGAACAGAGAGGACAGTGCCCTGGTAAGGACGCCCTGCCCCCACGCCCTTCCTGGCCAGGTCGGGGCAAGCCTCCCAGCCCTGGGGGCAGGGGCAGCAGGAGGTGAGGGCTCGGCCGGGCCGGCTGAGGCTGGACCTGCCCTCCTCTGCCCCCAGCTGGAGCTGGACCCCAAGTATGCCAACCAGACATGTGGTCTGTGCGGGGACTTCAACGGGCTCCCGGCTGTCAACGAGTTCTACTCCCATAGTGAGTGCCCCTGGGCTCAGGGTGGGGTCAGGGAATGGCAGGAAGCCAAGCCTGTGGGTCTTTCGGGGGACTGGATGGTCCCAAGGAAGCCTGGAGGGGGCAGCCTGGGGTGGCCTCACCGAGACACTGGGCAGTACTCAAGCCAATGGTGCCCCAGAGAGAAGTTCCTGGCACCCCGGGCACGGGCAGGGGGTCCCCCGGCAGCCGCTGCCCGCATGGCCCCCAGGGGCCCTCAGCACGCCCCACGCCGAGCACCTCCTGTCCACAGATGCTAGGCTGACCCCTCTGCAGTTCGGGAACCTACAGAAGCTGGACGGGCCCACAGAGCAGTGTCAGGACCCCCCGTCTTCCCCGGCCAGCAACTGCACAGACGTGGTGAGCCCATGGCCCCTGCTTCCCCAAGGGCATGGGGACCACCAGAGGCACAGGCTCAGGCTTCCTGGGCTGGGGCCTGGGGTGTCCAGGTGAGAGAGGGTCTCCTAGCCCCCAGGCGGACGAGGACATGGCCTCCAGTCTGGAGACACGCCCTCTCACCGACTCACCTCCACTGACCGCACACGTTCTGAGTGTGTGGGCAGCACACGTGTGTGTGTCCTTCTGCGTGTGCAAGTACGTGTCGGCACATATACGGTCCTGCCTGGGGTGGGGAGCGGGGAAGCCCCACTTTTTGGGTCTATCTGTGAGCTTTAAGTCAGGATGTGGAGGCTCAGTCCAGCCCCAGCTGGTCGGGGGCGGGGGGCTGCTAGGGAAGGAGGAAGGGTTCCCTGGTGGGCTGGCTTTGGCTCTGCCGGGGCTGCCTAAGGGCTTCCCCCTTCTCTGACTGGCCTCCTGGGTGCTCACACCATGAGCAGGTGTGTCCTGGAGCCCTGGCGGGGGCTGGGTCCACAGTCACGGCTCAGTCCCCAGAGCCAAGCAGAGCTCTGCACCCAGTGGGGGCAAGTCCACGTGGCCGGGGGAGGCTGGGAGGGCTGCCAGCCGGCTGGGTGGACAGATGCACGGGAGCACGGAAGGAGGACAGACGGTGGGTGAATGTGTGGGTAGACGGACAGACGGACAGATGGATGAAGGGAAAAAAGGAACTTCAGGGGAGGAAGGGGGTCCCCTGGCCTGGAAATGCCTGCAGGGCCTGAGGCTAGACAGTGCCAGCGTCTGTGCCCCCAGGACGGCGTCTGCCACCGCACCCTGCTCGGCCCAGCCTTTGCGGAGTGCAACAAGCTGGTGGACCCCACGGCGTATGTGGCCGCCTGTACCCAGGACCTGTGCCGCTGCCTCACCTGCCCGTGTGCTACCTTCGCGGAGTACTCTCGCCAGTGCGCCCATGCGGGGGGACAGCCCCAGGACTGGAGGGGTCCCGACCTCTGCCGTAAGTGACTCTCAACAGGGCCAGCCCCCACACTCACAAGGGGTCCCTGGGGATGGGGACAACACCCCTGGGCAGGACATCCGGCAACTGGCTGGGGACCTGGGACAGGGGAGTTGGTCAGGAGGGTGGGCAGGAGAGCAGAAGGGGATAGGTCTGGGGGACCCAGGCTGGGTGCCATGAGCCGAGCTCACGCAGAAGCCAGGCGGGCCCAAAGGGGCTATCTGGGAGGCCCTGTGGTCTGGGCTCCCCTGCCTGCTGCCTCACCCAGAGGAGAGCCGGGGTCCAGGACAGGCGGGGCCCGGCCTCCCAAGATGAGGGGTTCCCCAGGCCCGGGTGTAGCACACGAACGGCTGAAAGTGGAGGGGCCTGTCCGCCCCGTGCATGGGCAGCTTCCTGGGGCCTGACTGCTGCCTCCCCGCTGCAGCCCAGACCTGCCCCCCCAGCATGCAGCACCGGGAGTGCGGCTCGCCCTGCGCCGACACCTGCTCCAACCCCCAGCGCTCCCAGCTCTGCGAGGACCACTGCGTGGACGGCTGCTTCTGCCCCCCAGGCAGGTCCTCCTGGCCCCACTCCCCGGCTGTCCCGGTCACCGAGGTTCCAGCACCTGACCCGGCTCACTTACGATGCCTCCCTGTCTCCAGGCACAGTGCTGGATGATGTCACCCACCGGGGCTGCCTGCCCCTGGAGCAGTGCCCCTGCACACACGGGGGCCGCACCTATGCCCCAGGAGCCTCCTTCACCAGCAGCTGCAGCGCCTGGTAAGCCTCCCATCTGCCCGGGCTGGGCGGGGGCGCAGGGAATGGGCTCTGTCCTTTCTGCTCACGCCCCCCGCCCCCTTCCCAGCATCTGCTCCGGGGGGCTGTGGCAGTGCCAGGACCTTCCGTGCCCCGGCACCTGCTCTGTCCAGGGTGGGGCCCACATCTCCACCTACGACCAGAGGCTCTACGACGTGCACGGGGACTGCAGCTACATCCTGTCCAAGGTGCAGCTCCGGTGGGGTTGGCAGACCTGTTCAGGGACTCTCGGGCCCCCTCTGCCCCCATGCAGGGTCCCATGATGGCCATCAGAAGGGTGAGCCCCCCCGCCAGATCTCCTCCTAGAGTCCCATCCCCAAGGGAAGCCCCTGGGCTCACACTTCCTGGGCCAGGGGCTCCCAGACCCTGAGACAAGCTGCCTGGAGGTGGCCACTGGGGCCACGGGCCACCGTGGGCCACCACCCGTCTGCACCCACACGGGCAATGCTGGGAACAGGCCCCACACGTGTGCATGCAGCAGCGCCCTGGTGGCTTTGCCCTCCAGACGTGTGCAGGGAACAGCTTCAGTGTGCTGGCCGAGCTGCGCAGGTGCGGCCTGACGGACAACGAGAACTGCCTCAAATCGGTGGCACTCAGCGTGAACGGCGGGGACACGGTGAGGCTCCCACAGGGACCCAGGGAAGCTGGCAGGACACGTGGGCCCGGAGGACACTGACTCCCAGTCCCTGCCTACACGCCCAGACCCGCTCCTGAGTCCCACGGAGCCAGAGGTTCGAGGCCAGAGCTCCCCGCCCGGCTCCGCCTCTGCCGGGCTGGCTCCCTGGACCCCCAAGCGGGCGGGCTCCTCCCTGCACCGACCCGGCGCTTCTTCCCTGCAGGTCGTCCAGATCCAGGCCAATGGCGGGGTGTTCGTGAACTCCATCTACACCCAGCTGCCCGTGTCTGCAGGTACGTGGCCCGGGACGGCTGGCCAGGCTGCATCTGGGCGGCCCGCTCCCGGAGCCTGCCCGCGGCCAGCTGGGTCCCTAGCTGCTCTTCACGGCCCGCGGCTGTTCCTCAATATCCTGCTGGCAAGTGGGACGCGGTCTGGCCCTTGGGGGCCCGGGGTGGAGCACACTCGGCGCCCGGCCTCCCGGGGACCAGGACCAGTCACTGCCAACACTGCCCACTCCCAGGGCCCGTCGTACACCCGTCTCCTCCCAGCTCGTCCCTGGAGGACCCTCCCCACCCCGGGGCTGTCGCCACGGCAAGGGCCTCGGCCTGACTCGGGCGCTGTCCCCACCCCTGCAGGCAACGTCACGGTCTTCCGGCCCACGTCCTTCTTCGTCCTGGCGCACACGGGCCTCGGGCTGCAGCTGCGGGTCCAGCTGGTCCCGCTCATGCAGGTGTTTCTCCAGCTGGACCCGTCCTACCACGGGCAGACGTGCGGTGAGGCCGGCTGCGGCTCGGGGGCGCCGGGCCCTGGGCTCAGCAGCAGGCAGGATGGGCTAGAGCCTGGCAGGAAGTAGGGACAGGGAGGGAGCTGCTCCTGGGGCGGTGACCTGGGGTGGGCATGGGGAGCGAGCCGGGCTGTCCTTTCGGGGGCAGGCTCTGCCCTTGGGCTGACCCCCCGGCGCGTCTGCCGATGGTGCTGGAACCGGGTCCGGGGCCGGGGCTCTCTGGCTGGTCTCCTTGCGAGGGTTTCTGGAGGGAACGCGGGGCCGGCGCAATGGCCCGGCTGGATGCCCCACGAATGCCGCCTCCCTGGGCCTCGGCCCCCAGGCCTGTGCGGGAACTTCAACCAGAAGCAGGCCGACGACTTCCGGACCCTCAGCGGCGTGGTGGAGGGCACGGCCGCCGCCTTTGCCAACACCTGGAAGACCCAGGCCTCCTGCCCCAACGTCAAGAACAGCTTCGAGGACCCCTGCTCCCTCAGCGTGGAGAACGGTATTTTCATCCCTGGGGTCCCCCCCCATTTACCTGGGCTGGGTCTGGGAGCTGGAGCTTCCATCTCACCTGGCCCTGGGGTGGGTGGGGCTGGGGAACCCCACATCTGGGCATGTGTGCGTGTGGGCAGCAGGGCCTGGGGTCCATCGGCACCGTGGGTCGGCCCCATACGTCACAGCTCTCCCCGGGGCGGGTGCAGCAGCGGAGGCTGCGGGGTGGGAGGCGCGGGGGAGGAGCCATGGGGATGGCCGCCAGCCGGCTCGCCTTCCCTGCCCCAGAGAACTACGCCCAGCACTGGTGTTCCCTGCTCACTGACCCGGCTGGAGCCTTCTCCCGTTGCCACTCTGTCCTCAACCCCGCGCCCTTCCACTCGGTGAGAACCCGGCCCCACCTGCAGCTGCCTCCAGCGTCCTCTCAGGGCTCCCCACTCCAGCACGTGCACAGGCCGGCCAGTCCTCCCTGGGTCCCGCAAGCTTGTCAGCTCTGCCACTGTGGGTGTGGTTCTTGGTGTCGATAAAAGCTAGAGGAAGTGCTTCTGTCCCAGTCCTGGAGGACAGAAGACTGAAAGCAAGGGGTGGGCCGGGCCACGCTCCCTCCTAAGGCTGTAGACCTTCCTCCTGAGTCTCCCAGCTCCTTGGGGCTCCAGGTAACACCCAGGCCACATCACCCCAATCTTTGCCTCCGTGCCCCTCCCCTGTGTCAGTGTCCAAATTCAGAGCCCATCCTGATGACCGCATCTTAATTGCATCTGCAAAGACCCTGTTTCCAGTAGGTCCTTCTCCTAGGCCCTGGAGGTTTGGACTTCTGCAGGCCTTTTGGGGGGACCCCAACCCACGCCACACCGCCGGCTCAAGGGCCACTTTCCCCGAAGCTCAAAGCCCACAGCGCCCACGAGCGCACCCTCGGGAGTGCATGTGTACAGGTGGAGGGCTGGGCCCCCTCTGCCCACACTGGGGGTGGCATAGTTCCCGTCTTCACCCCACGTGTGTGCCCCACAAGCGGTAACATCTGCGGAATGCAGCCGGACTCCCCGGTCCCATGGAGCTCCGTCCTGACCCTGACCTTAGCCTGGCCTCATGCCTTCTTTCTGCCCCCGCAACCTGGCCCGCGCGGTCCCTTAGGGGTCTCTGCTGGGGTCCCCTCCACGAGGCCCCCACCACTCCCATCCAGCGGTGCTGAGGGCCCTGCTTGTGGCAGAGCGCCCGGCCCGGGTGGGGGTCCCAGGAAGGACGCACAGGGAGAGGGAGAGGAGGGTCCCTGACAGCCCCCCGCGGCCCCGTCCCCAGAACTGCATGTTCGACACGTGTAACTGCGAGAAGAGTGAAGACTGCCTGTGTGCCGCCCTGTCCTCCTACGTGCACGCCTGCGCGGCCAAGGGGGTGCTGCTCCGCGGCTGGAGGGACGGCGTGTGCAGTGAGTGTCCCCCAGGCCGGTCCGGCTGCACTGGGGGCGGGGGCGAGGGCGCCGGGGACCCAGGGGGCGGGCGGATACTCCCGCTCCCACGTTCTCAGCTGGGGCTTCACGCTTCCTTGCCTGGGCCAACCGAGGACCTGGTGTCAGGGGGAAACCGTCTTGGGCTGTGTGAACCCCAGCCTGGAGGGACCCTCCGGCCACTGACCCAGTGCTGCCCCCGCCCCAGCCAAGTATGTGAGCAGCTGCCCCCAGTCCCAGAACTACAGCTACATGGTGGATGGCTGCCAGCCCACCTGCCGCGCTCGGAGCCAGGTCGACGTCACCTGCAGCGTCCCCTTCCTGCCTGTGGACGGCTGCATCTGCCCCACCGGCACCTTCCTGGATGACTCGGGCGCCTGCGTGTCTGCCGACGCCTGTCCCTGCTACTTCCGTGGCTCCGTGTTGGCCCCAGGGGAGGTGGTACATGACGATGGCGTGGTGTGGTAAGCGGCCAGCTGGACCCGTGCCCCCAGCGCGCCACTGCCCCTGCACACCCGTGCCCCCAGCGCGCCACTGCCCCTGCACGCCCGTGTCCCCAGCACACAACTGCCCCCCCGACGTCCTGTCCTGAGCCCGCAAAACTCTGGCCCCCCATGTCATACCCGACAGTCTCTGGGCCTCCTGGGACGGTTCTGAAACAGAGCGGGGCTCCCTGGGAGGGATGCCCGCCCTCCGCCCCTCAGCTGTGCGGTACACAGGGACCCGGCCCCTGGCCGGGGCCAGGGTTCTGAGGGTCCGGTGCCCAGGCAGGGTGTATGTGTTGGGCTCTGGGCAGAGTGGTGGGTGGGGCCCGAGGGGTGGTGGGTGGGCATTGGGCCCAGCAGGCTGGCCTGTCTCTCGCAGCTCGTGTGTGGCCGGGAGGCTGAGCTGCCTGGGAGCGGCGGAGCAGCGGAGCTCAGGTAGGGCCTCCTGCCGCGCCCGGGCTCAGGGGCTTCCGTGGGCCTGGGCTGTGGCCCCTCCCAGCCCAGTGGTCTCCCCCTGCAGGGTGTGTGCCCCCCATGGTGCACCTGGACTGCAGCAACGCCTCGGCTGGCGCACCTGGGGCCGAGTGTCTCAGGAGCTGTCACACGCTGGACGTGGACTGTGTGAGTGGCCGGGGAGAGCGGGCTGCGCCCCAGCGTCCCTGGGCACGGGGGGACAAGCTTGACGCCGTTCCCATCCACAGTTCAGCACCCACTGCGTGTCCGGCTGCGTCTGCCCCCTAGGGCTGCTGTCGGATGGCAGCGGGGGCTGTGTGGCAGAGGAGGACTGTCCCTGCCTGCACAACGAGGCTGTCTACAAGCCGGGGGACACCATCCGGGTGGACTGTAACACCTGGTGGGTCAGGGCCCCTGCAGGAGGGAGGGGGGTGGGGGAGGAGCCGAGGCCTGGCGCTGTCCCCACCCCTGGGAAAGCCCGGGACGGTCCCCTCTGTCCTTAGAAGGTGCCCCTGGGGCCCAGCCGTTCAGAGCTGCCACCAGGACCCCCGTCCCTGCCTCACCAGATGCTGAGGGCTTGGAAGCCAGAGAGAGGCGGGCGGCGGGCCCATGTCCACGCTGCCCCCTCTGCTCAGCCCTCTGCAGAGGGTGGCTGGCCAGGGCTGGTCCTGGGCACGGGGTGAGCAGCTGTCTGCCGTCCTCAGCACATGCAGGAACCGCCGGTGGGTGTGCAGCCACGAGCCCTGTCTGGGCACCTGCGTGGCCTATGGGGATGGTCACTTCATCACCTTCGACGGGGAGCGCTACGGCTTCGAAGGGACCTGCGAGTACACGCTGGTCCAGGTGCGTGGAGCCCCTCCGTCCCCTGACCCGGCCCGCCTGCTCCCGCAGCCTGAGCTCACCCTGACCCCTGCCCATCCCAGGACTACTGCGGGGGCAACGGCACGACCAACGGGACCTTCCGCGTCGTCACCGAGAACGTCCCCTGTGGGACCACAGGCGTCACCTGCTCTAAGGCTATCAAGCTCTTCCTGGAGGTGAGGGGCCACCGGGAGCCCTGTCCTTCCCTCTGTCTTCCTGCTGGGCAAATGGCCACAGCCGGGGCACCCGAAGCCAGAGAAATGCATTCTCTCTCGGTTCTGAGCCAGGAGTCTGGCAGCAGGGGTCCCAGGGCTGAGCCCCCTGCCAGCCTCCGGGGGCTCCCTCTTGCCTCCCCTGTCCCTCTCCCATGGGCCCACCCCTTCTCTCCTGTCCCAGGGACACCTGTGTTTGGGCCGAGGCCCACCCTAATCCGGGTGAGCTCGTCCCTCCCTGACCCCCACAGAGACCCTTCTTCCAAACAAGGCCACGATCACCGCCTTTAGGGCTGGGATGGGGACACACGCTGTGGGGTCTGTGTTCAGCCCACTACATCGGGGCGCCCAGTTCCAGCCGAGGGAGGTCGGCGTTCACCAGGAGGAGAGCCACACTGCTCTCTGGGGACATCGCCCCCGATGACCCGTGGCCCCTCCCCAGGCCCCCAGCTCTCCCTGCGCAGGTCCGACCTCGTGTTCAACGACAGTGTCGGGAACCCATTCCTCCTTGACCCCGGCCTCGCGCCTTGGGCTCCCGAACACCCGTGGGGCCCTTGCCTCAGGCCTCCGGTGGGCTCTGGTCCCCAAGCCGGCCCCTCAGTCCCTGCAGCCGCTGCTCCGTGCGTCCCCCGCAGAGCTACGAGCTGGTCCTGCAGGACGGCGGCTACAGGGCGGTGCAGTGGGGGCCAGGCGGAGAGCCACCCTACAAGGTCCGGCACACGGGCAACTACCTCACCGTGGAGACCCGCGGCGGCCTCGTGCTGTCCTGGGACCGGAGGACAAGCGTGTTTGTGCGGCTGAAGCAGGACTACAAGGTGAGGGCAGGCGGGCTGCGGGCCCCTCTGGGCATGGTCGGACGGAGCCCCCTTTCCTAGGTCTGGCCCCGAGGGGGCGCTCTGGCAGCTGATGAGCCGCTGAGGGCCGGGTGAGTCCGCGCTCCACGCTGGCTTCTGAAGGGCATGTCGAGGCCAAACCGCCCAACAGGCTGAGTCCTGGTCAGAACTCTGCTCGTGCTCCGCGTGTCCCCACACCCTCTAGGCCTGCCTGCCCCCCTGTCCACCTGCCCGCCCGCTGGCTATAGGGCTGTCTGTGTGCCTGTCCTCCTGCAAGTTCACAGGGCACTACCCTGGAGTCCCCCTGCCGGTCTGGGCTGGGTGCTATGCCCTCAGGCTGCCCCCTGAGCCCCCCGTGCCGCCGCCCCCCGTCTGCAGGGTCGGGTCTGCGGGCTGTGCGGGAACTTTGACGACAACGCCGTCAACGACTTCACCACGCGGAGCCAGTCCGTGGTGGGCAGCGCCCTGGAGTTTGGCAACAGCTGGAAGTTCTCCCCGTCCTGCCCCGACGCCCCGGCCCCCAGGGACCCCTGCACCACCAACCCGTACCGCAAGTCCTGGGCCCAGAAGCAGTGCAGCATCATCAACAGCGCGACCTTTGCCGCCTGCCACCCTCAGGTGGGCTGAGGCCCCGGGCTCTGACCTGGGGGCTGGGGCTGCCCCCCAAATTCTGGCAGAACTGGGTCCAGCCTGGGCTGGGCCTCCGAGCTTGGACTGGACGTGGGTGCTGGCACATGGGAGGTCCGTGGTGTGCCAAGACACCCCGGGGTCCCAGCCGGAGCATCCCTGTAGCTTTCGTTGGCCACTCAGGCCCTCCCTGCAAGTGAGGCTGCGAGACACACGGACCGCGGGGGCCACCTCCCCGTCCCATCCACGTTCCCCGGCAGCTGGGCCTCGCGAGCTCCGGGGACTGGTGGTTCTCCTCCGAGACTGTTCCCCCAGGTCCTTCCTGTGACTTTCTCGAGGACGCGGGTGCCCATGCACAAGCGTGGTCTCAGGGTGCAGGATCTGCTGCTGACATGTGGGCGGCTTAGGAGGGACAGGCTGGTGGCAAACGTGTCTTGGGTCCCCTCTGGGCTCTGCTGCTTGGGGGAGGGGTGTGGTCAGGGGGCTGACCCCTCACCATGAGGACACAGACAGGGTCATGACACGGCCATGGGGAGGGCCGTCTGCAACCACAGATACCATGTGGGTACGGGTGACGGTGCCAGGTGGGTGGGAGTCACAGATCTCGGACCACAGACGCAGGGTGCATGTGCAGCCGCTCCCGCGCTCGTGCAGGGCTGGAGGTCCCCCGACTACTGCTGAGTGGCCCCTCCGCCTCCCCCAGGTGGACCCCGCCAAGTACCACGAGGCCTGCGTGGGCGACGCGTGCGCCTGTGACTCGGGGGGTGACTGTGAGTGTTTCTGCACGGCCGTGGCTGCCTACGCGCAGGCCTGCCGCGACGTGGGCGTGTGCGTGTCCTGGCGCACCCCGGACACCTGCCGTGAGTGGGGCTCTGCTGCGGCGCTGAAGGGCGGGAAGGGGTGGGGCCCGGGTGCCCCGGCTGGGCCCCCGTCTGGGCGCTAACGGACCAACTGGGCAGGCCACCGCGGGACGGGACCAGCGTGCTGAGGGCGGGGCAGGAAGCAAGGGGTGCGCCCTCAGCTGCCCCCCTCCGTGCTCAGCCCTGTTCTGCGACTACTACAACCCCGAGGGCCAGTGCGAGTGGCACTACCAGCCGTGCGGGGCGCCCTGCATGAGGACGTGCCGGAACCCGGGCGGCCGCTGTCTGCACGACCTGCCGGGCCTGGAAGGTGAGGGCAGGGAAGGGGACAGGTGGCGGGGCGGCTGCCCCGCGCAGTGCCCAGCACCCGGCCACGAGGGTGAGTCTCCTCCACGCGCGGTGCCTGCCCAGGCTGCTACCCGAGGTGCCCGCCCAGCGAGCCGTTCTTCAGCGAGGACCAGATGAAGTGCGTGGCCCAGTGTGGCTGTTACGACGAGGACGGGAACTACCACGACGTGGGTGCAAGGGTCCCCACGGCAGAGAACTGCCAGAGCTGGTGAGTGGGCGGGGGCGAGGGGGCAGGGAGCCGGGCAGGGGTGCTGGCGTGGCCTGGCGGGCCCTCAGCGCTCCCCTCTCCTCTTCCCCAGTGAGTGCACTGCCGGCGGCCTCCAGTGCACACACAGCCTCACAGGTAAGGCAGAGGGGCGGCCCCGGGGCTGGGGCCGGGGCTGGGGCCGGGGCTGAGGCCGGGGCTGAGGGCTGTGAGTGAGCCCCATGCCGGCCCTGTCTCCCAGCCTGCACCTGCGTCTACGAGGGCAGGACCTACCACTACGAGGACGTCATCTACAACACGACCGACGGGCTCGGCGCCTGCTTGTTGGCCGTCTGCGGACAAAATGGAACCATCCTCCGTCGGGCTGTGGATTGTCCCGGAACCCCGTCCATAATGCCCTTCACCTTCACCACCACCGTGGTCCCACTCTCCACGTCAGGTGAGCCTGGCAGACACGCTGCTGGTCCCGCTCACCCCCGAAGCCTTAAGCCCAGACCCCGGGTGACAGTCTAGGCAGAGCAGGAGGTCAGAGTGGGCGTCCTCAGTACAACCAACGGCCCCGGTCACCCCTGCTCCTGGGCAAGGCTGGCAGGGGTCCAGAGGAGGCTGACGAGGTTCTCGCCCCCCGCCCACAGGCTCAGTCCCCACCGTCACCACCGTGTGTGTGCGCGAGTTCTGCCTCTGGTCCGACTGGTACGACAGCGGCCCCCCAGAGCCCGGCATGGCGGGCGGAGACTTCGAGACGTTTGTGAACCTCAGGCAGAAGGGCTACGAGGTGTGCCTGGCCCCGGTGAGCGTTGAGTGCCGGGCACGGCGACTCCCTGACACCCCGCTACTGCAGCTGGGTCAGAAGGTGGAGTGCGATGTGGTCAAGGGGCTGACCTGCTTCAACAGCGAGCAGAGCCCCCCGCTGTGCCATGACTACGAGCTGCGGGTCCTCTGCTGCAGCTACCTGCCCTGTGGCTCCTCCCCCGGGGCCACGTCCACGGCCCTCGGCACCACCACCTCCGCCGGGGCCACCACCACCTCCCCCGGGGCCACCACCACCTCCTCTGGGACCACGACCATGGCCCCCGGGACCACCAGCACCCCTGGGGCCACCACCACCTCCCCCGGGGCCACCACCACCTCCTCTGGGACCATGACCATGGCCCCCGGGACCACCACCACCCCTGGGGCCACCACCATCTCCCCCGGGGCCACCACCACCTCCTCTGGGACCACACTCACAGCCCCCGGGGCCACCACCACCCCTGGGGCCACCACCATCTCCCCTGGGGCCACAACCACGACCCTCGGCACCACCACCTCCGCCGGGGCCACCACCACCTCCTCTGGGACCACGACCATAGTCCCCGGGGCCACCACCACCCCTGGGGCCACCACCATCTCCCCTGGGGCCACAACCATGGCCCTCGGCACCACCACCTCTCCCGGGGCCACCACTACCTCCTCTGGAACCACACTCACAGCCCCCGGGGCCACCACCACCCCTGGGGTCACCACCACCTCCCCCGGGACTACGACCATGGTCCCCGGGGCCACCACCTACCCCCGAGCCACCACCCGGCAGCCACCGGCCAGGTCCACTCCTGCCACGGAGACCCCGCCGGCGGAGACCACCATGACAGGGACCTGGGCATCGAGCAGCCCCCCGGCCGTGGCCACCACCTCCTGCCAGCCCCGGTGTCAGTGGACGGAGTGGTTCGATGAGGACTACCCCAAGTCTGAGGAGGCCGGGGGGGACGTCGAGTCGTACGACAAAATCAGGAGCGCAGGAGGGGCCGTGTGCGAGCAGCCTGTGGACATCGAGTGCCAGGCCGAGAACTTCCCCGGCAGGAGCGCCGAGGAGCTGGGCCAGCGCGTGCACTGCGACGCTGGTTCTGGCCTGGTGTGCAGGAACGAAGAGCAGGTGGGCCTGTTCAAGATGTGCTACAACTACAGAATCCGCGTGCTGTGCTGCCACCAAGACCACTGCGCGGGGCCCACTCCCGGGACACAGACACTGGCCACTGCGCAGACCACAGGCGGCCCCTCCAGGGGGACCCCACAAGCACACACGACTCCCACAGTGACGGGAGTGGAGGCCACAACAGGCACTGTCCCTGCCGGCCCCCCGTTCAGCCCACGCACAGAGACGCGCACGACCACCGCAAGAACGTCACCGGGAGCCCTGGGAACGGCCACGACGACGGCCACCCCCAGCCAGAGCACGGCTGGCTGTCAGCCCCAGTGCGAGTGGACAGACTGGTTTGACATGGACTTCCCAACCTCAGGAGTGGAGGGCGGGGACCTGGAAACCTTGGACAACATCAGGGCCACCGGGGGCACGCTGTGCGAGGAGCCCCAGAAGATTGAGTGTCGTGCAGAGAACTACCCTGAGGTCAGCATCGACCAGATCGGACAGGTGCTCAGCTGTGACCTGCACACGGGCCTGGTCTGCAAGAACCAGGACCAGAAGGGGCCTTTCAACATGTGCTTCAACTACAATATCCGTGTGCTCTGCTGCCGCCCGAACCCGCACTGCCCCAGCACCCCCGCCCCTGCGGGCTCCACATCTCTGGGGCGAGAAACCACAACCAGAGTGTCCACCCAGACCCATGCCTCCTCCCCTGGAACCAGCCAGGGGGTCCCTGTCTCCACCACCCAGACCCTTCCTTCCCCTGCCAGGACCACAGAGAGGGTCTCCAGCCCCGGTCCCTCTGCCTCCCTGGGGACCCCGACCACCACCACCAAGCCCACCTCACCCCGTGCACCCACCACGGTCCCCGAGGTGACCTCCAGACCATGGACCTCCCCCGGGTCCCCGCCCAGCACGGCCACCTTCGGGACCACGCTGCTCTCCACGCCCCCGCTGCCCAGCTCCACCACGCACAGCCCGGCCACCTCGTCCTCCACGGGCTGCAGCCCACGGTGCACGTGGACAGACTGGTTCGACGAGGACTACCCCACGCCGGGCCTGGACGGCGGGGACTTCGAGACCTTCTCAGTTTTCCGCTCAGCGGGCCACGACTTCTGCCAGCGCCCCCAGGACATCCAGTGCCGCTCGGAGAGGGCGCCGCACGCACGTCTGGAGGACCTGGGGCAGGTGGTGCAGTGCAACGTGAGCTTCGGGCTGGTGTGTCGCAACCGGGAGCAGCCGGGACCCTTGCGCTACTGTGACAATTACCACGTGCGCGTGCTCTGCTGCGAGGACGACGGCCGCTGCGCCAGCCCCACCGCCTCTGAGCCCACCACGCCGTCCCGGGGGACGCCCGCCACCAGGGCCACCACTGCCTTCCGCTCCGCGCCCGTCATCCGCATCTCCACGGCCTCCACACTCAGCCCCCACGGCAGTGAGTCCCCACCCTGGCAGCCCGAGACCTCGCCTGGATTCCCAGGAGTCATGCCCAGCACGGGGGCAGGCCCCAGAGCCTCCCTGTCGCCCCCCGTGCCCGAGACCGCCAGCTCTATGCCTGGCACCACCTTGGGCCTCTCCACGGCCGCCTCCAGGGCCACAGTGCCAGTGGGCAAGACCGAGACATCCTCACCTGTGACCTCCAGCCACACACATACCCCCACGTCCCCCGTGGCCAGGTCTACAGCCTGTGAGCCCCGTTGTGCCTGGACAGACTGGCTGGACGAGAGCTACCCGGTGCCCGGGGCCTCCGGTGGGGACTTTGAGACCTACGCCAACCTCCGGGCCGCGGGCAAAGCCATCTGCCAGCAGCCATGGGCACTGCAGTGCCGGGCGGAGGCGCAGCCAGAGACACCACTGCAGGAGCTGGGCCAGGTGGTTCAGTGTGGCCTGGAGGATGGCCTGGTGTGCCGCAACCAGGACCAGGCCGGCCCGTTCCACATGTGCCTCAACTACCAGGTGCGCGTGCTCTGCTGCGAGGATGACGGCCGCTGCGCCAGCACCCTGGCCACCACTGCACTCACCTCGCGGGGCACCAGCCTGAGTCCGACCCCCGTGCTGCCCACAAGCACCATGGTCCCCAGTCCTACGGCCCCCAGAACCAGCCGGACCACGGCCACCGCCACGTGCCTGCCCACCTGCCGCTGGACCGACTGGCTGGACAGTGACCAGCCCCGGCCTGGCCGCTACGGGGGCGACATCGAGACTTACTACCACATCCAGGACGCGGGCGGTCAGCTTTGTGCGGAGCCCAAGGCCATCGAGTGCCAGGCAGTGCTCTACCCAGATGTGCCCTGGGGGCAGCTGGGTCAGGATGTGCGCTGCGATGTGAACTACGGCCTCATCTGCAGGAATAACTGGCAGACGGGGGGCCGCAGCTGCCTCAACTACCATGTGCGGGTGCTGTGCTGTGAGGGTCCCGGCCGCTGTGCCACACAGCCCACCTCGGAGCCGGGCGCCGCCAGCAGCTCTAGCACACGACTAAGGTCATCGGGGGTCACAGGGCTGCAGACCACGGCCACCCTCCCAACTTCCCCCGAGACCACGCAGGGTGTCATTGGCCCCACCTCCCAGGCTGGCCCATCTCCTGAGACCACCCATGGGGTTCCTGTCTCTACCACCCAGATCCTTCCTTCCTCCCTCAGGACCACCCAGACAGGACCGACTTCCCCTGGGACCACCCATGGGGTCCCTGTCTCTACCACCAGCACCAGCATAGGCCAAACGTCATCAGGAGTCATTAGGCTGGGGAGCACGACCACCCACCCCACGTCCCCTGAGACCACACAGAGATACACTGTCTCCACCACCCAGATCTCTCCTTCCTCCCCCAGGACCACCCAGACAGGCCCGTCTTCCCCTGGGACCACCCATGGGGTCCCTGTCCCCACCACCCAGATCTCTACTTCCTCCACCAGGACCACCCAGACAGGACCCTCTTCCCATGGGACCACCCAAGGGGTTCCTGTCTCCACCACCCAGATCTCTCTTTCCTCCCCCAGGACCAACCAGAATGGCCTGTCTTCCCCTGGGACCACCCATGGGGTCCCTGTCTCTATCACCAGCACCAGCATAGGCCAAACGTCATCAGGAGTCATTAGGCTGGGGACCACGACCACGCACCCCACTTCCCCTGAGACCCCACAGAGATACACTGTCTCCACCACCCAGACCTCTCCTTCCTCCCCCAGAACCACCCAGACAGGCCCGTCATTCCCTGGGACCACACATGGGATTCCTGTCTTCACCACCCAGATCCTTCCTTCCTCCCTCAGGACCACCCAGACAGGCCCGTCTTCCCCTGGGACCACCCATGGGGTCCCTGTCTCTACCACCAGCACCAGCATAGGCCAAACGTCATCGAGAGTCATTTGGCTGGGGAGCACGACAACCCACCCCACCTCCCCTGAGACCACACAGAGATACACTGTCTCCACCACCCAGATTTCTGCTTCCTCCCCCAGGACCACCCAGACAACACCCTCTTTCCCTGGGACCACCCATGGGGGTCCTGTCTCCACCACCCAGATCTCTCCATCCTCCCTCAGGACCACCCAGGCAGGACCCTCTTCCCATGGGACCACCCATGGGGTTCCTGTCTCCACCACCCAGATCCTTCCTTCCTCCCTCAGGACCACCCAGACAAGACCGTCTTCCCCTGGGACCACCCATGGGGTCCCTGTCTTTACCACCAGCACCAGCATAGGCCAAACGTCATCGGGAGTCATTAGGCTGGGGACCAAGACCACCCACCCCACGTCCCCTGAGACCACACAGAGATACACTGTCTCCACCACCCAGATCTCTGCTTCCTCCCCCAGGACCACCCAGACAGGACCGTCTTCCCCTGGGACCACCCATGGGGTTCCTGTCACCACCACCCAGATCCTTCTTTCCTCTCCCAGGACCACCCAGACAGGACCGTCTTCCCCTGGAACCACCCATGGGGTCCCTGTCCCCACCACCCAGATCTCTCCTTCCTCTACCAGGACCACACAGACAACACCCTCTTCCCCTGGGACCACCCATGGGGTTCCTGTCTTCACCACCCAGATCTCTCCTTCCTCCAGGACCACCCAGACAGGCCTATCTTCCCCTGGGACCACCCATGGGGTTCCTGTCTCTACCACCAGCACCAGCATAGGCCAAACATCATCGGGAGTATATAGTCTGGGGACCACGACCACGCACCCCACCTCCCCTGAGACCACACAGAGATACACTGTCTCCACCACCCAGAYCTCTCCTTCCTCCCCCAGGACCACCCAGACAGGCCCGTCTTCCCCTGGGACCACCCATGGGGTTCCTGTCTCCACCACCCAGATCCTTCCTTCCTCCCTCAGGACCACCCAGACAGGCCTGTCTTCCCCTGGGACCACCCATGGGGTCCCTGTCTCTACCACCAGCACCAGCATAGGCCAAACGTCATCGGGAGTCATTAGGCTGGGGACCAAGACCACGCACCCCACGTCCCCTGAGACCACACAGAGATACACTGTCTCCACCACCCAGATCCTTCTTTCCTCTCCCAGGACCACCCAGACAGGCCCGTCTTCCCCTGGGACCACCCATGGGGTTCCTCTCTCCACCACCCAGATCCTTCCTTCCCCCCTCAGGACCACCCAGACAGGACCATCTTCCCCTGGGACCACCCATGAGGTCCCTGTCTCTACCACCAGCACCAGCATAGGCCAAACGTCATCGGGAGTCATTGGGCTGGGGACCATGACCACGCATCCCTCCTCTCCTGAGACCACACAGAGATACACTGTCTCCACCACCCAGACCTCTCCTTCCTCCCCCAGGACCACCCAAACAACACCCTCTTTTCCTGGGACCACCCATGGGGTTCCTGTCTCCAACACCCAGATCCTTCTTTCCTCTCCCAGGACCACCCAGACAGGCCCGTCTTCCCCTGGGACCATCCATGGGGTTCCTCTCTCCACCACCCAGATCTCTCCTTCCTCCCTCAGGACCACCCAGGCAGGACCCTCTTCTCATGGGACCACCCATGGGGTCCCTGTCTCTACCACCAGCACCAGCATAGGCCAAACGTCATCGGGAGTCATTAGGCTGGACACCACGACCACCCACCCCACGTCCCCTGAGACCACACAGAGATACACTGTCTCCACCACCCAGATTTCTGCTTCCTCCCCCAGGACCACCCAGACAACACCCTCTTTCCCTGGGACCACCCATGGGGTTCCTGTCTCCACCACCCAGATCCTTCTTTCCTCTCCCAGGACCACCCAGACAACACCCTCTTCCCCTGGGACCACCCATGGGGTTCCTCTCTCCATCACCCAGACCTCTCCTTCCTCCCCCAGGACCACCCTGACAGGCCTGTCTTCCCCTGGGACCACCCATGGGGTCCCTGTCTCTACCACCAGCACCAGCATAGGCCAAACGTCATCAGGAGTCATTAGGCTGGGGACCATGACCACGCATCCCTCCTCTCCTGAGACCACACAGAGATACACTGTCTCCACCACCCAGATCTCTCCTTCCTCCCCCAGGACCACCCAGACAACACCCTCTTTTCCTGGGACCACCCATGGGGTTCCTGTCTCCACCACCCAGATCCTTCTTTCCTCTCCCAGGACCACCCAGACAGGCCCGTCTTCCCCTGGGATCACCCATGGGGTCCCTGTCTCTACCACCAACACCAGCATAGACCAAAAGTCATCAGAACTCATTATGCTGGGAACCACAACCACGCACCCCACCTCCCCTGAGACCACACAGAGATACACTGTCTCTACCACCCAGACCCTTCCTTCCTCCCCCAGGACCACCCAGACAGGACCCTCTTTCCCTAGGACCACCCATGGGGTTTTTGTCTCCACCACCCAGACCCTTCTTTCCCCTGCCAGGACCACAGAGAGGGTCTCCAGCCCTGGTCCCTCTGCCTCCCCGGGGACCCCAACCACCACCAAGCCCACCTCACCCCGTGTTTCCACCACGGTCCCCGAGGTGACCTACAGACCGTGGACCTCCCCTAGGCCCCCACCTAGCACAGCCACCTTCGGGACCACGCTGCTCTCCACGTCCCCGCTGCCCAGCTCCACCACGCACAGCCCGGCCACCTCGTCCTCCACGGGCTGCAGCCCACGGTGCACGTGGACAGACTGGTTCGACGAGGACTACCCCATCCCGGGCCTGGACGGCGGGGACTTCGAGACCTTCTCAGTTTTCCGCTCAGCGGGCCACGACTTCTGCCAGCGCCCCCAGGACATCCAGTGCCGCTCGGAGAGGGCGCCGCACGCACGTCTGGAGGACCTGGGGCAGGTGGTGCAGTGCAACGTGAGCTTCGGGCTGGTGTGTCGCAACCGGGAGCAGCCGGGACCCTTGCGCTACTGTGACAATTACCACGTGCGCGTGCTCTGCTGCGAGGACGACGGCCGCTGCGCCAGCCCCACCGCCTCTGAACCCACCACGCCGTCCCGGGGGACGCCTGTGCCCGAGACGACCAGCTCTCCGCCCAGCACCACCTTGGGCTTCTCCACGGCTGCCTCCAGGGCCTCGGCACCCCACACCTTGCGGCCAGTGACAGTGAGCACCTCGTCCACGTCCATCCTCACCACCCCACGGCCACCTGTGTCTCCCAGCGGGAGCCTCACCACCCGCTGCTTCTGCCGGGCGCTGGGGCAGCTCTTCTCCCCGGGTGAGTGCAGGAGCCACATCCCTCCCTACCCCGCCCCGGGCACTCTATTGCTGAGACTTGTGGGTCCACCCTGTGCCTCCTGAACTATCCGGAGCTGACCCTGCTGTGTCGTCTTGGTGACTGTCTCCTCACAGGGGACATCGTCTACAACAAGACGGACAGCGCGGGCTGCTCCTTCTACGCCGTCTGCAACCAGCACTGTGACATTGACCGCTTCCAGGATGCCTGCACTACGTCCTCGCCCCCGGAGGCCTCCTCGACCCCAGTGGCCTCGCCCTCCCCGACCCCAGTGGCCTCGTCCTCCCAGCCTCAGGGCTGTGACCTCATCATCCCTCCCCGACAGGTGTGCCTCCTGCCTGTGGCGCAGCTGGCCCGGGTCCTTGTGGCCCCCTTGAGCCCTCTCCGGGTAGCTCTGGCTGCAGGATGGCACGCGGGGTTGGGGCCGGGACGGCACCGCGGGAAGCCGGGATGCAGGGCCGCACCCCGGGCAGGGAGGGCCCTGTGGCCGTGGCAGGGCTGTGGGGCAGGTTCTGTGGTCCCAGCCGGTGAGCCCTGCACCCTTCTCTCCCAGGTGAATGAGTCCTGGACCCTGCCAGACTGCACGGTGGCTCGCTGTGAGGGCCACAACCACGTGGTCCTGCTGGGGCGGAAGCCGGTGGCCAGCATCCACTGCGTGAACGGACACCCACCGGTCAGAGTGTCGCAGGACAACGAGCCGTGTGATTTCCACTTTGAGTGCGAGTGTAAGTCTGGGCATGGTGAGGGCGGCCGCTGCGGGCAGAGAGCACTGGGGGACTCGCTAGGGGCCAGAGCCGCGGTGTACAGCGCCAGCCAGAGACGGTGACACGCATCACAGCCGGGGATGGCCCAGGTTTGCGGAGATCACGTGCACGGCAGCCTCTGTGGCTGGACGGGGCACTGGGCTGGGGGCTGGGATACCCAGGTTTCCTGAGTGTCCCTCCTGGAGCTTCCGCGGGGAGCACTTCTGGCCCAGCGTCTGGATGGCGTGGGGCTCAGGTTCCCAGAGGAAGCAAGGGCCACACCCGGGGGTCAAAACACCATCAGGGACCGACTGTCCCTCCGGAGGCTGCAGGGTGGCCTTCCTGCCTTCCCAGCTTTGGGGCTCCAGGCGTCCCAGGGCTTGTGGCCACTCCACTCCTGTAGGGACACCTGTCACTAGGTTAGGGCCACCTGGGTCATCCAAGACGGCATCATCCTGATGTCCTTAACCTACTAACAGACATGAAGGTCTTTTCCCAGACAGAGGGCACATTCTCAGGGTCTGGGTGGGGCTGGGGACTTGCCTTTGTGGCCACCATGCAACCCACTCCAGCCCCTTTCATAAAAAAGGCAAACGGGGCCCCGGGCGGCTGGGGGGCTCCCCTGAGATGGCTGTTTGGGGTGGCGCTGGTGAGGGGACCATCCACACCCCACAGGCTCCTGCAGTGGCTGGGGGGGCTCCCACTACACCACCTTCGACGGCACGTCCTACTCCTTTGCGGACAACTGCACCCACATGCTCATGAAGGAGATCCGCCCACGATACGGGAACCTCAGCATCTTCATGAACGGCTACTACTGCGGGGCCGCTGCCGCCCCCGCCCCCTGCCCCCGCGCCCTCAGCGTCCACTACAAGTCCATGGAGGTCATCCTCACCACCCGCACCAGCGCCCGCGGGCAGGAGCAGAGCCTGGTGAGCGGCCCTGTCCCGCCATCACCAGGGAGGGCCTGCGGGCACCGAGGCAGCTCCCAGAAGCCCCTCAGGCAGGGTCAAGGGCACGCGCGATGCCTCGGGGACCCCAACATGGCCGACCGGGACCCCAGGCTGCAGGGGGAGCATCTGCCCTTCGGGGGAGGGGTGCCAAGGATTCGGGGCCCCAGCAGCCCGTCACAGACCCCACATGTCCCCAGATCCTGTTCGACCAAATGCAAGTGGGCTCGGGCTCTAGCAAGGACGGCGTGAGCGTGTCGGTGACGGGCGCGACCATGATGACCATCGACATCCCCGCGGCTGGTGTGACCGTCACCTTCGACGGGCAGGTCTTCCACATCCAGCTGTCCTACAGCCGTTTCAGCCACAACACCGAGGGCCAGTGTGGTGAGCGGGTACTGGGAGACGCCTGGGCCGCCGCTGCCCAGCACGGGGGCGGGCAGAGGGCGGAGGGGAGCGGAGGAGGGTGACCCCGCCGTCCTGCCACCCAGGCACCTGCACCAACAGCCGGACGGACGACTGCCGCCGGCCAGACGGCACCATGGCCGCCACCTGCCAAGACATGGCCCACCACTGGCTGGTCCCCGAGAGCGGCCGCGAGGGCTGCTCAGCGCCTACCGGCCCGCCCCCGACAGCAGGGACCTCGTCCTCTGCGCCCACCACGCCCACCTCGTCCCCATGCCCCCCCGCGCCCCTCTGCGAGCTGCTGCGGAGCCCGTGAGTCGCCCCTGAGGGTCTGGTGCGTGTGGGGTGGCTGCCCGCCCCCGCCCGGCCTCTGACTGCCCCTGTCTGCAGGCTCTTTGCGGAGTGCCGCGCCCTCATCCCCCCGGAACCGTTCGTCAGCTCCTGCGTCAGTGACGGCTGCCAGGCCGACGGCCCCCGAGCGCCTTGCCGGAGCCTGGAGGCCTACGCGGCGCTCTGCCGTGCCCGGGGCGTGTGCAGCGACTGGCGGAATGCCACCAACGGGCTGTGCGGTGAGTCAGGGCGGCCCCGGGCACTTTGGCCTCCTCGGCCCACCTGACTCCAGTCTCTGTGTCCCCAGACTTCACCTGCCCGCCCGACAAGGTGTACCGGCCGTGTGGCCCTGCACAGCCTGCGTCCTGCGACTCCAGGTAAAGCCTGCCTGAGGGTCTGGGGCAGGCCAGGAGGGCATGCGACACCCCCAGCCTCAGGACCTCGGGGCTTTCTGCCCCGCCCCCGCCCCCCCAAGTCCGGGCCCTGTACAGCGGGTCAGCCCCAGTCCTCTGCCATGGCCTCTGCCCTTCCCCCTCGGACGGCCACTTCTACAGATCGAGGGGCCCAGGCACGCCCACCTTGCTTTGCAGGAGTCAGAGCGGAGCGGGCAAGGGGCTGGCGGAAGGCTGCTTCTGCTCCGACGGCCTCACCCTCTTCAACACGCACACGGACGTCTGCGTACACACCTGCGGTGAGCGTCAGCCATGGAGGACCCACCGGAGCCGCCGCAGAGCCGGGGGCAGGCGGCTGGGGTGGGGGAGGCCCGAGCCAGGAGCCACCCCTCCCGGGTGCTGGCACTCCCGGCCCGGCGACCAACCTGAGGGTGCTGTGTGGCCACGACATAGGGCCCTTGGCAGGAGGAGGAGCCCTGGCCGGGGGTGGGGTGGCGAGGCCTGCAAGGACAGGTCCCAGGGCCCGTGGTCTCTGCCCGCTGGGTCTGGCACCCCAGCATGCCCACTGACCCCCTTTCTTCTTCCCTTCCAGCCTGTGTGGGGCCAGATGGGTTTCCCAAATCCGTGAGTGCTCTGCCCCCAGCCTGAGCAGAGGGAGGGAGGGCCTTATCTCTGAGCAACCTGCTCCGCCCGGGCAGCCCCTGCGGGGGACTGGGGTGGGGTACCCGGTGGGACACACGTCCCCGTCACGGGGGCTGCGCCAGCGACGGCAGCTCGAGTGGGAGGCCGAGAACTGACCAGGCCACGCTGAGGGCGGGAGCCTTCCCTGCCGCCGGATGTGGCCCCGGAGACCAGGGCCCAGTCCAGGAGTCTGCAGGGACCCCCACTGCTCTGTTCCAGCCTGGGGAGCGGTGGGTCAGCAACTGCCAGGCCTGCCTGTGCCACGAGGGCTCCATGTCAGTGCAGTGCGCCCCCGTGCCATGCGAGCCCCAGGAGCAGCCCCCGCAGTGCGGACGGGCTGGCTTCGTGACCGAGACCAGGCCTCTGGCCAACAACTCCTGCTGTCTGGAGACGCTGTGCGGTGAGCCCTGGGCCCCGCCCCCCTGGCCGGAGGGTGACGGGGAGAAGGCGGGGCCTGTGGGGCCGAGGATGGGCTGTCGCCGACCTCCGACCTCCGGTGTGCCGTGGTACAGTGAGGGGACCCAGCGGGGACACAGGAGGCTCAAGCCCTGACGCACCCCGACCTCCCCACAGTCTGCAACACAACCACGTGTCCCCAGAGCCCACCCAGATGCAGGCCAGGAGAGGAGCTGACTCGCACCCAGGAGGAGGGTGATTGCTGCCCCACCTTCACCTGCCGTGAGTGGGGCTGGGAGCTCGGGGCTGCGGGAGGGTCAGAGCCCTTCCTCCCCACCAGCCGGGCGGGTGCTCAGGCCCCCTTTCCTTCCAGGACCTCTGCTGTGTTACTACAACCAAACCGCCTTTGGGGTAAGGGCTCAGCAGCTGGGTGGCTGAGTGGGACGGGCGGCCATGGTGGGGGGGCGCAGCTCAGCCACAGGGGACCTCCACCCCTCATCTGCACGGGCCGGCCCTGCCTGCACCACCCTCGTGTGGGGGATCCAGACCCTTTCGAGCTACGTGGGGACACAGGCAAGGGGGACACGGGGACAGCCCTGTGTATTGAGCGCCTGGTGGACTGTTGGCTGTCCCTGAGAAGTTAGCTTCGGGTGTCCCAGGAGCTCCCTCGAGACAAGAGTGTTGGGGTGAGACCATGCCCTCCCAGCCCCTCCAGCCGGCCTGGGGTCCTGCTTCTGCCCTGGTCTGTGCTCAGCCGGCGGCACAAGCATAATTCCATCTGAAGAAGAAAGAACCCGCTCTCTGTAGGCCTCCCCTTCCCCTGGCCCACCCAGCAGCAGGGAGGGGTCCTGGCCCTCGGGCCCCCGCCACTGTCTCAGTGTCACCTCCACTCTCCCCGTCCGCTGCAGATCGGGGCAACCTTCCCATCGCTTACTCCCTGCCACACGTGCACCTGCATGTCTGGGGACACCCAGGGCCCAATCGTGCAGTGTGAGGAGGACACCTGTAACACTACCTGCCCCCAGGTAAGCCCTCCTGGGCACACCCAGCCCTGGGCAGGGACACAGCTCCGCAGGGGTGGGGGGCTGCCAAGGAGGTCGCTGGGCTCTTAGGGTGTGGATGGGAGGGCAGGGGGGCTGGGGGGCAGGGCCGGGGTACTGACGGAACCAACCCCTCCCTCAGGGCTCCGAGTACCGGAAGGTGGACGGACGGTGCTGTGGGGAGTGTGTGCAGACGGCCTGTCCCACGGAGGACGGCCAGCTGGTCCAGGTAAGGGGGGTTCGCTCTCAGCCCCTCCGCCCGGCGCCCCTTCCCTTTGGCCCGTCTCTGCGAGCCTCCACCCCCACCCCCCGCCAACTGCGTTGCAGCCCAACGAGACCTGGGTCAACAGCCCGGTGGACAACTGCACCGAGTACCGCTGCGAGGTCAGGAATGGGCTCCACGTGCTCATCGGGAGGGCCACGCCCTGCGCCAACGTGTCCAGCTGCCAGGTGTGTCCTGCCGCTCGGCTGCCCCACGGCGGAGTCCCCGCCCGGCACACCTCAGCTTCGCGGCCGGAGCCCCCACCGTCTCAGAGGCTGCACCCACAGCGCCTCCCCTGGGAGGCCCCGTCCTCCCCAGACCACGCCCCCACAGGCACCCCACCACCTCGGAGGCCACACCCACCCAGAGCCCCTGCCCCGCCCCCAGCCCGCCCTCTCTCTCCCCCTCCCGCTTCAGGGCATCCTCAGGAAAACCGGCTGCTGCTTCTCCTGTGAGGAAGTGGGTAAGTCGAAGCTGGCCCCCCTGCTCTCCAAGCCCCAAGCTGCCCCTGGCCCCCGGGGACCCCACCCTGAGCGCGGGGCTCAGCAGGGTGGCGTGGGTGGCGGCCCCGGCTTGGGGTCCTCAGAGGTGCCCTCCCGCACCGCCCCTGCCTTTCCTCTGTCCGCCCAGACAAGTGCCAGATCCACGTCAACAGGACCATCCTGACCTACCAGGGCTGCGCCACCCAGGCCCCGGTCAACGTCACGTTCTGCGGGGGTTCATGCCCCGGACTGTCCAAGTGAGAGAGCCCTGGCCCCTTCTGGAACACCCCTCCCCGCCCCACATGGCCCTGGCTTCGGCCAGGTGTGAGCAGTGGGCGCGGAGAGCAGGCGGACAGTGGGGGGCTGGCTCAAGACTGGGGTGGGTTCCTCCCTGGGGGAAGAGGGTCCTGCCCAGGTCAGCGAGTTCCACGAGTGGTTCCAAGACAAGACGGAGCCTGGCGGGTGAAGGTGGGAGCTCAGTGACCCCGAGCCCTGCCCCAGGCCAGGTCAGACACGCCCCTAGTGCTCCGAGGATGAGCTCGGGGCTGCCCGGAGCAGGCGGGGGCCATCGGCTCTAGCCCCCCCGGGAAGCCAGGAGCTTGGGGGCTTGGGCTGGACCGGGCGGGTCCTGATGGCGGCCGTGCGCCCGCAGGTACTCCGTGGAGGCCCAGGCGATGGACCGCCAGTGCACCTGCTGTCAGGAGACGGGGGTTCACGAGGAGGTGGTGACGCTGCGGTGTCCCGACGGGACGGCCGTCCGCCACACCTACACCCACGTGGACGAGTGCAGTTGTGCCCCGGCCTGTGTCCACTCACCCGAGGTGCCCGAGGACAGCACCCCCATCCTCCTCACCTAGAGGTCCACCACTGTCCGTTGCCATTCTGACCCCGTCCCGCCAGCCCTCCCCCAATCTGGAGCCAGGACACATACCACTCAGCCACGGAGAGCTCGGCCAGCACACCTGCCACCTGGGCCCTCACGGGACCTGTGCCTCGGGGGTGACCCCGGAGGGTGACGGCACAGTGAGGACCTGCTTGACAAGGGCTCTGGGAGGGGCCTTGCCCTCAGAGCCCCTCCAGCACGTCTTGGCCACTGTCTGGCCTTCAGGACCTGCCCCTCACCTGAGACGAGTGTCCGCACTGCCCGGACTCTCCCCTTCTTCATGCCAGGAGGATGCCTGGAGCCACTGTGCCGCCCACTGCAGCAGGTTCCTGCTGGCCACCTCCTGCGGCGGGATGTGGGCTGGGGCCTGTCCCGCGGCCGCCAGCTGCCTCCGGGGAGCAGCGTCAGGTCCAGCGTCAGGTCGGAGGGCTGGCTGTCCACGCCCTCGTCTGAACCTGGGCCTGGGGTGACCATGGCTGCTGGGAGGCAGGCCAGGGAGGGGTCGGTGCTCCCCAGCACTCCCTCTGCCCACCCTGTCCCCGGTCTGCAAATAAACACTGAGCATCGTGTACACTTCTTGGTCCTGGTGTCTTTTCTGCCCACGGAGTCCCCTGGGCTTCTCCTCCATCAGGCTGTGCAGCACCCCCAGGGCCTGTGTGTCCCTCCCACCAGGAGAGACAGGTGGGATGAGGGGCCCGGAGGCCCTCAGGGTCCATCTCAGGCTGTGGGGCACTGGCTGAGGCCGGGGATGAGCCCAGGGCTTGGAAACATCCCTCTCCATGATTTCACACACAGAGATTTCAAAGGAAGCTGGTTCACTGATGTGGAAAGTTTGGGAACCCCATGGAGGCATGGCCACTGCCCAGGTGTGTCCATGCAGGAAGCCGCTGCCTCACAGGCTGGGGGCGCACAGGAGCGGGGGGCGCCTGGTGCCGTTCCGGCCCCAGGGAGGCTGCCGGATGCTGCCATCCCTGCTCTCCCCGCCACGGCTCACACACTGAATTTTCTGCGGGGCACTCGTCCCCCTCAGCTGGCTCTAATCTGGTCGCCTTTTCTCATCTCCCCCAAGGGCGGGGATTTCTCACCAGAGAGCTCTACGCACACGTGCTGAGGCGGGAAGAAGTGGGGAGCAGGTATGGGGTGTGGCTGACAGGACCCCACACGCAGCCCCCGGAAGCAGAAGGCTCCCTGGCTTTACTGGCGGGAAGGATGAGACGTGGCCCCAGTGGGGAGGGGTGGCTTCGGGTGCGGCTGCCACCTGGGGAGGCAAAGGCAATGCCTTTGCTGGTGGAAGCTGCTGGGGCAGGGGGCGGGGGGCGCATGGGGGGGTCTTCTCCCCTCCCCTGAGTTCCATGACCTGCCTCTGCTCTCCGTGTGGTTCCCATCGTGGGGCCGCTGTAGGGGCTGAGCGCGGAGGGCCTGGGCTCTCTCCAGGCCACGGCCTGCCTTTCCTACCCACCCCACGAGCTCTGGGCAGGGCAGGCCACCTGGGACCCGGCCGGGCTGGCGAGGCAGGCCTGCAATCGTGGCTGGCCGCCCCTCCCAGGGCCGCCTTCTGGAAGCTGAGCCTGGGCCTCCCAGTCTGGTTTCCTGGAGGCTGTGGCCGCGCCCCCACTGAGTCTTTGTGAAACCAGGTGCAGAACAACAGCCTTCCCCAAGCCTCCCTGCCATTCCGTGGCACAGCCGCTCTGCAGACACATGCAGCTCTCACCAAACTTAAGTACATCCCTAAGGGCCCAGGGGCACGAGTGTCACGGGCCACGGACTAGGGTGCGCGAGCGTCGCGGGCCACGGACTAGGGTGCGCGAGCGTCACGGGCCACGGACTAGGGTGCGCGAGCGTCGCGGGCCACGGACTAGGGAGCGCGAGCGTCGCGGGCCACGGACTAGGGAGCGCAAGCGTCATGGGCCACGGACTAGGGTGCGCACATACCACGTGCGGCCTGTGTCCCAGGGGAGCTCTCCTCTGACCCTGACAGCACCCCAGGCAACGTGTGCTGTTATTTCTCCCGCTTTACAGAGGGGAAACTGAGGCATGCCATGGCGAAAAGCCTTGCTTCAGCCAGGAGTGAAGCCAGGCCCCGTAGCCCTGGAGAAGGGAACTATAAAAACCAACACAGGGCATAAAAACAAAACAGTCACTAAACTTCAAATATTTTTAAAAAGAGATTTCTGGTGTCCAGATGGAAAAGTGGCATGTCCTCCCCCACAGGCACAAAATTCGTCACGATAAAGATAGAAAGAAATTTGAAAATAGAAGAGCGAAATCAAGAAAGTGAACCTGACAGACAAGACAGAAGAAGGGAGGTTTGGGGGGGTGCGCTAGTGGCGAGCGGGGCCTGTGGCCTCAGGGCAACTTCTGGATCCACACGTGACAACAATGACCTCTCAGAACTGAAGGCATGAGCTCGACCGAGAGTCCTTGGCGAGCGCCCAGGAAGGTAAAGAAGGTCATGCGTCCTGGAGGGGAGATCTGAGGGCAGTGAGGCCGGGAGGAGCTCGGACCTGCCAGGGTGACAGGACTTTGCGCCTGCACCAGCGTGAGATGGGGACCGGCGCCTAGGGACTGCAGCGGGTCACCTCTGTGGTGCTGAGGGCACAAACCTGGAATGCTGAACTCCACACCCAAGTAAACTATCACTTAAGAATGATAATGAAGGGGCGCCTGGGTGGCTCAGTGGGTTAAAGCCTCTGCCTTCGGCTCAGGTCATGGTCTCAGGGTCCTGGGATCGAGCCCCACATCGGGCTCTCTGCTCAGCGGGGATCCTGCTTCCCCCTGTCTCTCTCTCTCTGCCTGCCTCTCTGCCTGCTTGTGATCTCTGTCTGTCAAATAAATAAAATCTTAAAAAAAAAAAAAGAATGATAATGAAGAAAAGGCATTTTCAACATGCAAGGACTCAGAACGTAGGCTCACAAGACCCTGTGCGAGAGACACCGGCAAGCCAGTGTCACCTCTCAGGCAGCAACACGCGGCACGCATAAGTTCGTAACGCTAGCGGGCCAGAGCCGTCGGTGTTCTTCACGGCTAGCGCTTCCCGGCCCTATTTCACAAAACCTTGGGATCAGAAATATGGTCTCCTGGGTTATTTCCTAGAAGCTTGACAATCCACCTAGCTTTTTTTTTATGGGTATAAAATATACATAACAAAATTTGCCATCTTAACCATCTTTAAGTGCACAGATTAGTGGTATAACATTCACACTGTTGTCCATTCGTCCGTCCATCCACACATCCATCCCCACGATCCCTTTAACTTGGCAAGATGGAGACTATACACAGGAGGCAGCAACTCCTGGTTGTCCCTCCCTGTGGCTCCTGGAAACCACCCTCAACTCTCAGTCTCTATGATTTTGGTGAGTCTAGTAGCTCAGAGGAGTGGAATCCCGCAGTAGTTGTTGTACGGTGACTGGCTTACTCACTGGGCCACGTCTGCTGGGTCCATCCGAGTAGTAGCAGTGTCAGAGTCTCCCTCCGCCTACAGCTGGGTGTCATTCATTCCAGGGATGTGTGGATCGCATTCCACCTGCCGCTGGTCTCCGGGGTTGCTCCCACATTCAGCTACTGCGAACAACGCTGCTGCAAACACACGTGTCTCGTCAAGACCCTGATTTCAACTCTTTTAGGGTCATACTCAGAGGTCGAATGGCTGGACTGTATGGCAGTTCTAATGTTTTGAGGAACTGCCGTACTGTTTTCCACAGCGACTGAACAGGTCCACATCCCTAACGGTGATCAGGGGTTCCGATGTTTCTACCTCACCCTGCTGGCTATCGTCACACTCTGTGTTACCACAGTCAGCCCAGTGGCTGTGAGGCGGTACCTCACTGTGGTTTCGACTCCCATTTTCCTGATAATCAGCAACGTTGAGCATCTTTACATGCTCCCGTTGGCCCTTTTAGGTCGTCTTTGGAAAAATGTCTGTTCAAGTCCTTTGGCCATTTTTGAATTGGATTGTTTGGGGATTTTTGTTGTGGAGTATTTTCTGGATGTTCTCTTATCAGATATATGATTTGCATATATTTTCACTCATTATGTGGGTTGATTTTTATTCTGAAAGTGTCTTTTGATGCACAAAATTTTAAAACTTTTATGAAGTTCAATTTGTTTTTTTTTTTTTTTCTTTTGCTAACCCCAACCCTAACCTGTCGCTTTGGTGTCCTGAGAATAAATTGCAAATCCAGGAGGAAGAGAGGCGCCTTGCGTGAAAAGTGCTTTACTACCCATCAGGAGAAAGGAAATTTTCCTCCTATAGAGACAACAGCCCAGCCAACGAGAAGCCCCTCCCAGCTCTCCCCTTCCTCTATAAAAAGAGCCTCCTTTTCCTCTGTTCTCAGGACTTGCCAATGGTTGGTTTTGCTGTGGCTTGCTTGTCTCAGGTTACAGGTCTCTGCTACTCCCAAATAAATCCATTTTTTGCTGGTAAAATAACCGGCAGTTTTATATTTTAAGGTTAACAATGACTTTTCTTAGGTTGGGGTAGTTTCCATCTATTCCTGGTTTGTTGAATGTCTTTATCATGAAAGCGTGTTGACTTTTGCCAAATGTTTTTTCTACATCAGTTGAGATGATCGTGTGTTTCCCCCTCTTTGTGCTGTTGCTGTGGAGTATCATACGATGACGATGACCTGCGTGTGCTGAGCCATCCTTGCATTCCACAAATAAACTGCACTTGGTCGTGGTACATAATTTTTTGACATGCTTCTGAACTGGTTTGCTAGTATTTTATTGAGGACTTTTGCACCAGTGCTCATAATAGATACTGGTCTGCGGTTCTCTTTTCTTCCAGTGTCTTTGTCTGGCTTCATTGTCAGGGAATGCTGGCCTCACAGAATGAGTTAGGAAGTGTTCCCTCTTCTTCAGTTTTTTGGAAAAGTTTAAGAAACACTGGGATTCTTCTCTACGGTTTCTCTTTGTTGGGAGAATTTTGATCACTGGTTCAATCTCCTTGCTAGTTATAAATCTATTAAGATTTCCCATTTCCTCGTGATTTAGTCTTGGTAG